CAATGATCATCAGCACAGCATCATCCCCAGTATCAAGTCTGCCATCATCATCGCCGTCATGCAACCATCGCCACTGACACTGCAGTGTGTGCCCCCGTACAAACGCTACCACGAGTGAAAGGCAGTCCACCCAGTGGGTATCCCCTTCCCAGGCCGTCCCAGTTTGCACCTATCGGTCACTTTCTCTCCCTCCTCCTCCCCCTCCGATAGCACAATGAAATGTGCAAAATCACGACGTGCGCGTTGACTCGAGGATCTGCCCCAAAGCTGGATGGCTCTGAGGTTCTATTGCTCCTGCAGGGTATGTACTGCAGCGTGTTAAGCCTCCCGCCAAAGCCAATAATCCAGCAAAGTGGGGGTGCAGCTCGTTTCGCGGAGGCCGCGTCGCAGCTAAACGGGCAGGGGCCTGGTGGTGGCGCAGCACAGAGTGCAGAGCTTCAACATCTTGAAATATCCGTAAGGGCTTCGCCCCCTGCCGCCGACCCCCTCTCTCGGAGAATGGGCCATGGAAGAGCGAAGTCATGAGGCTTTGGTTTCACCGTGAAGCAGCGTCGGAACTTCATGCGAAGACGATGGGTAACTGGCAAGACGAACGGAGATTGCGAGTCTATTGTTGTACTCGCTATTGTATTTTCCATTTGCTCCTGTATGCTGTGCCCAAATCTTCTCCCCGAACTTGAACATGTTGGGAGTCTCTTGTGTCCTGACCGCGCTGAAGCGCGTGAGAGGCGCCACCGAATTTCAGAAATGTGGCAACTCCCATGCGTTTTTGGACCCTGACCCCGCCGATCTGCGTGAGGGGTGCCACCGAATTTCAGAAATGTGGCAACTCCAATGTGTTTTTGGACCCTGACCCCGCCGATCTGTGTGAGGGGTGCCAGCGAATTTCAGAAATGTGGCAAATCCTTTATGTTGTTGCACCCAGACCCCGCCGGTCTGCGTGAGGGGTGCCATCGACTTTTCAGAAATGTTGTAAATCCCATGTGTTATTGCACCTTGACCCCGCCGATCTGCGTGAGGGGTGCCAGCAAATTTTAGAAATGTTGCAAATCCCATGTGTTTTTGGACCCTGACCTCGCCGATCTGCGTGAGGGGTGGTCGCGAATTTCAGAAATGTTGCAATTCCCTTTTGTTCTTGCGCCCTGACCCCGCCGATCTGCGTGAGGGGTGCCAGCAAATTTCAGAAATGTGGTAAATCCCTTGTGTTTTTGGACCCTGACCCCGCCGACCTGCGTGAGGGGTGCCACCGAATTTTAGAAATGTTGCAATTCCCCTGTGTTTTTGGACCCTGACCCCGCCGATCTGCGTGAGGGGTGCCAGCAGATTTCAGAAATGTGGCAAATCCTTTGTGTCTTTGGACCCTGACCCCGCCGATCTGCGTGAGCGGTGCAAATTTTTACCCACCCCAGCAATTCAAAGCACACGCTCAGGGCGTGCTAAACTTACCCGTTTGGGCCTCCCCCCCTTCGCGCGGTCCATCAACAAGGAACAGTAAGCAGCAAGAAGCAGAACTGTAACAGTGGAAATTGGAAGCTGCATTTGACACAGGAAACTGCAAACCTTCGCCCTACAGCCTGGTGGCCTCACAAGGGGGCCGGCGGATTATGTAGCATCCCCCAGTTGAGGATAAGAGTGAGGGGGCGGGCGCGGGGTGGGTCGCAGGTGGGTCGCGGGCGAGTCGCGGGTTGGTCGCGGGGTGGGTCGCGGGTGTGTTGTGGGTGGGTCGCGGGTGGGTCACGGGTGGGTCGCGCCTGGGTCACCGTTACGGGTGGGTCGCGGGTGGTTCGTGGGTGGGTCACGGGTGGGTCGCGAGTGGGTCGTGGGTTGGGTCGCGGGCGGGACGACGACACAATCATACTTGCAACGTGTATTTCGTGCAGCCCCTAAGGCAGGGAAAGAGAGGACGGATGGAAGGAAAGGGCAATGGGGGAGGAAGGAGCATGGACCACGAGAGAGAGTAGCAGGAGGGGGGCTTGGAGCAGAGCGGGCAGCGATGGCCACAAAGGGCGACAGCGGGGCCACGAAAGGCAGCAATGGGGCCACGAAGGGCGCGAGCAAGCGGGGGCCACGAAGGGCATACGTATATGGGGCCAAACAGGGCGACAGCGGGGCCACGAAGGGCAGATGGCGCCACAATTGGCGACAGCGGGGCCACGAAAGGCATGCATATGTAGCCGCGCAAGGCGCGAGCGAGCGGGGGCCATGAAGGGCATAATATAATGCGGGGCCGCTGCCGGCAGCGACGGGGCCACTGAGGGTGACAACGGGGCCACAAAAGGCGACAGCGGGGCAACGAAGGGCAGCAATGGGGCCACGAAGGGCGCAAGCGAGCGGTGGCCACGAAGGGCATACGCATATGGGGCCACAAAGGGCGATAGAAGGGCCACGAACGGCAGTATGGGGCCACGAAGGGCATACGTATATGGGGCCACGAAGGGCGACAGTGGGGCCACGGAAGGTATGCATATGTGGCCGCGCAAGGCGCGTGCGAGCGGGGGCCACGAAGGGCATATAATGCGGGGCCGCTGCCGGCAGCGACGGGGCCACTGAGGGTAGCAACGGGGCCAAGAAGGGCAGCGAAGGGGCTACAAAGGGCGACAGCGGGGCCACGAAGGGCAGCAATGGGGCCAGATAGGCGCGAGCGAGCGGCGGCCACGAAGGGCAGGGGCCAGAAATGGCGGCAGCGGGGCTACTGAGGGCAGCAATGGGGCCACGAAGGGCAGCAAGGCGGCCACGAAGGGCAGCAGCGGGGCCACGAAGGACCTACCTTTCGGGCCACGACGGGCGCTTGCGAGCGGAGGCCACGAAGAGCATATAATGCAGGGCCACAAAAGGCATGGACAGAGCCACCGAGGGCAGCAACGGGGCCACGAAGGGCGCGAGCGAAGGCGACCGCAGAACCACCACGGGCAGCGTGGCGCATCGAAAGCGGCGAAGGGCATGACGAGGCGATTGCAGCCCCTAACGGCAGGTCGGGCGGGCTGGCCCCGACGGGCGGGTCGAGAAGGTGTGTCGTTGAAGCGTGGATCCGAATTGAAGCACAAAGACATCGTTCTAGCGAGAGCGCAAATTACAAGAAAATCTGGAGGAAGTCCAAAGCGAGAGCGCGATTCCTGAGTATATTGCAACGCAGTCCCAGGCGACAGCTTATTTGTTGAATGGATGGTGAGGGAGTATCAGGCGGGAATTATTAGCTGGGTGGAAGCTGACGGGGGCAAAGCTAGTCATGGGGGGCACGGGAAGGTATACACTCAATGTGTTTCTTTGGGGCCGCTCTGCGGCAGCTCAGGGACATCCCCAGACCATTTTCGAGCACACCGTGTGCTCTCGTCCGTTGGCAGTTGCCCACCCGTTGCCGACTCGCGGCCATCCTCCCAGAGGCTGTCAGGGGGGGTCTCCCCGGGGGTCCACCACGAAGCGGCATCGTGGCAAAGAGCGCAGAGAAGCTGCGCACACGTTGCAAGGTAGCCCGCAGGAGCGAGGAGACGGCCCGCGCCTCGCGGCGGTTCGCGGTCGAGGTGGGAGTGGTTGCTCTTCTCCAGAGGGGCGGCGCGAGGGCGCGGAGATGACCGCGCGACGCGTGCCGCGAGGTTTCGTGCCCCTGGGTGCTCCACGACGCGTTGTGTGTGTGTGCCCGCTCACCAGGAGCAGCAAGCGTGCCGACACGCCCACGATCAGGGTTTGGAGAGCGCCCCCCCTCCTCCTTGCCCTCGTCGTCGTCCTCCTCCTGAGGCACTGGTCCGCCTTGCGTGCGCCCTCCCGCCCAAGACTGGTCGACCCAGCGCTTTGGAGTCCCCGCCCCGTCATTTGGGAAGTTGGGAAGCCCTCTCCCTGGCGGTGTCGAAGGTGATTCGAGGTGGAGGGGGGAAGGGCAGAAGCGGAGCGGGAGAGGGGTTGTAGAAGCGGAGCGACCACCCTGCCGACCCACTTGGCGCCAGTCCTGAGCGAGTTTCTATGCGCAGGTGCGGACCGAGGATTGCGCAGGAGGCGCAGAGGTCGCTCACTCGGTGCGGCCGAGTTGGCGCAGAGGTTGGCCGCAGGCCAAAGTCTTTACAAACCAGTGTGAATCGCGCGCGCGCAGCAAGACTCGCCCCGTCTCCTGCCCGTTCGTGACCTCTGAGCTCCAAGGACGAACCCTTCCAGATGACGCCGTGTCAGTTCGCTCGCGAGCGCGTGCCATGCACACGGAATCCTCGAGTCTGCGGTATTACGGTCAGGAGCGTTTGCTTAGCGTGTCGCATCGCCGCTTCTGGCCCACCACGTTTCGGCGCGACACGCCACCGCAGTTCCCAGGCGTCAACGTCCTGAGCTGTTCCCAGCCTCCCGTCCCACGAGGCAGGACGATACGCTATCCGCTTGCAATGCATAGCATGCCGCCGGGGCGACGACCGCGGAAAAAGACAACATGAGAAGGGAACGGCCAGGAGGAGGAGGAGGAGAAGGAGAAGGAGGATGGGAAGGAGCATGACGATGTCCATAACCGTTTTGCTCCAAGCCCGCTCTGGTCCGCCAGAGACCCCCAGCTTCTCAAGCAAATTATTGTATCTCGCCACGTCAGGCCACCTCCCTGGGCCCCGAACCAGTCCGACCCAGACACCCGGCCGCTTCGATTGTTCCGATGCGAGGGCCCCCGGACCTCTCGACCCATTCCCCCTTCCCTGGAGGACAACGTCTCATCCCGAGCCGTTCTCTGACGGCCCCGAGGCCCGACGCTGCATTTGCAAGGGCTGAAAACGGCGACAAGCCGGCCGCCTCCATTTTTGCTCCAGCGCCAGATGTCTGGCATTGGGGTCACAACTCGGGTCCTGGACGGCCGTTCGGGATGATTCGGGCACCCCCAGAACGCTCTCGGCGAGGCGCAGCTGCTGGAAAGCATCCCGAGGCTGGGCAGCCTCCGGGAGTCTGCGAGAGCGCCCGAGGCCTCCGAGAACCTCGGAGCACTGCTCGAGGCGCCGGGTGTCTGGAGAGCCCCGCCCGCGCCCCTCTCAGCAGGGCACGCCATGCCGGCCTCCCCGGCGCCGGCCGCGGGCGCTGGGGCACACGGAGCAGCCGAGGAGAAGGGCGCCCGGCCGCGCCCAGCCGGCGCGGTCCTGAATGGCGGCGCCGGCCTCGCCGCGCGCCCCGAGGCCCCAGGGGTTCGACCACGCGTAAGTGACCCTGCGCTGGAGTGGCCTTTGGTGCGGGCCCACTGGGGTCCCCCGATAGCCGCACACGATGCGATGGTACAGTCAACCATGATAGCAAGGATGGGGCAACTTTCCAAGGCTACCCTGGCATCCTTGCCCCTGCGGTATGCGGCATCCTTCGGCATTCTGCTGCGCTCCGCACGGAAAACGTCAACACGGCGTTCCAAGGCCCTTGCAACCTTACCGCGCATCCTTACTATATTGGTTGGCTGTAGCGTCCTGCGCGCTCGTGCTTGGTTCTCGCGGGGACCCCAGAACGCAGCGCAGCAAAGGTCACTCGACCCAGGGTCACTCCTGCGTGTAGCCAGAGATGGCCGCTGGCCCCCATCAGCCCAGTCGTCGAATCAGAGGAGCACGAGGCTATGAGCATGGTACGATTCCTGATATCCAAGGTCTCCAGGATTTCCCGGAGTTCCTGTTGTTCTGCATGGGCTCCCGAGACTGGGGCCCCTCAATACCCTAGATGTTTGTTGAATGTATCCCGAGCCGATCGCATTTTAACATCTTCCACGTTCTACTCAACACGCCGTGGAAGAAGCGTGACGGACGGTTGTTGGCGGGTTTCTGCCTCTGGGGGCCTCGTGGCCAGGAGAGCGGCTCGGGATGAAAGAACGGCCTCGGTGATAGGCTTCTTTCCGAGGCACAGGCATCAGAAGGACTGATTTCTTCAAGTCCGTCATTCCATCAATCTGGGCCTCGGTCTCGTCGTGCCCCGGGGCCATGAACAGAAGGTGGCCGTAACGCTTTGCTGCCCCCAGAGAAGGGGTCGGGAGCGCCCCCCTGGGAGGCGGCCCCTGCTCTTCCAGGGAGGGCCGGGTGGCCTCCAGGGTTCCCCCTCGCAGGGCCCAGCGGGGGCCCCAGGAGCTGCACAGGTGGCTCGGACAGAGAACATGCATATCATCGGGGGTGGGCAGAACCCCCACCCTGACACGTCGATTAGTGGATTGTCCGTTTTCGGTTCTCGAGAGGGCGCCGCCGCCGTCATTTTCCAGGCTTGTGCCCGCCAGGTTTTGGCCCGAGGTCGTTTTCACTAAACCACGCTTTGCAAAAGGGGGCTCTGCCCATCCCCGAAGATACATGTCAGGGAGATCCCGGGCCCGGGGCCCAGGGGCGGCCCCTTCCCTTGTACGACGGTGTCCCTTCTCCCCAGGGACCTCCCCTCGGAGGTCCCAGAAAGCCTGAGAGTCTTCCAGGACCACCCACGACAGCCTGCGACTGGCCCTCAAGGCCCCCAAACGCGCCCCACGAGAGCTCCAAGACGGCCCCAGATGACACCGCGACAGCGCCAAGGCACCCCACGACGCCCCAAGACACCCCCAAGAGGCCCCCCAAGAGGCCCCAAGAGCAAAAACCGCCCCACCCTTTTGGGAAACTTATAGTTTTAGCAGGTTCGCCTCGTGGGCTTTCACAGCGTCCACGACTGCCCAAGAGACTCACAAGACGGCCCAGGAGGTCCCCAAGAGAGCTCCAGGACGGCCGAAGAAGGGCCCAACACTGCCCAGGAGGCCCCCAAGATGGCCCAAGAGCGCCCAAGGACAGGCCCGTGAGGGGTCCCAGAGGGGGTAAGCCAACTTCAATTTTCGAGCCTTGGCCCCGAGAGGCCGCCAGGAGTCCCCAAGAGGCTCCCAAGAGGCCCCAAGAGGTCCCAAGGAGGCCCCCAAGAGGCCCCCAAGAGGCCCCAGGAGGCCCCCAGGAAGCCTTCAGGAGAACCCCAAGAGCACCCAAGCAGGTCTCTGGGAGACTTCCCAAGAAGTCTTCATATGCATCTACGAGAGGCCTCTGGTCCACAACCCGGACCCGTTCTCGGGGCGCCGCCAGATCGGCACAGGTGTTGTTTCTATGTGTATGTATGTGTATGATGTATGCATGCACGATTGTATGTCTGTGTTCATGTACTCTTGTAAGTAAGAGCCCACCCCTATGCAGCTGCATGTAGCGCAGGGCGCGGCTCTCTTTTCAAGTACTGCGCGACGCGGAGTAGACCGGATAGAGTGTCGCTGCGGAGTTAGCGCGCGTAGGCACGCTGAGCTTCCTGTGGGGCGCGATCCGCGTGAAGGTGGTGGCCGCCGCCGCACGAGCGCGCCCACTGAGGCCGTAGGTGGAGCTCCTTGTGGAGCGCGATCCGCGTGTATCGGCGCCGAAACGGGCGTGGCCATACGAAATTGCTTTGAATGCCAGATCGGGACCCTTGCGGGTTGGATTCTTGTCAAGGGTGTGCCGAAATATGCGGATGGACGCCATGCGATCCCTCCTGTTGGAGCCGTCGGTGGAGTCCCTGTGTGGCGCGATCCGTGTGAGGGGTGTGCCGAAATGGGCGTGAAGACGGCATGCGAACCTTCTCTATGGGGCCGTAGGTGGAGCTCCCTTTGGGCCACGATTCCTGCCAGGGCGGTGGAGAACAGCTGCCCATATGTTTCTGGACACCTCTCTGGGAACATTCGGAAGCAGGAGGAGGGATGAATCGGAGTAGCTGCAAAAGCAGTTGAGGAGGAGGAAGAGGAGCAGGACATGGGACAGAAAGAAAAGGCGGAGAAGGAGGAGGAAAAGCAGGAGGAAATTTAGGAAGAGGACGATGAAGAGTGAACATTGAGTAACGAGGAGGAGGATGAGGGAATGAGGAGGAGAGCAGGAGCAGGAGCAGGAGCACGGGGAGGATGATGAGGAGAAGGAGAACGAGGAGGAGGAGGAGGAGGACGAGGAGAAGGACGAGGACGACGGAGGGGGAGGGGGAGGGGGCCGAGACGGATGGAGACTCTGCAACGCCCACGTGCAGCGAATTTCGCGATGTCGCCGATCAGACGATAGGAAGCGGGAGCGTTAAAACGCGGCGCAGTTGCGACCAGAACCTGAGCGCGCGCAAAGCGCGCGCGTGGGTCTAGTTCGCACATCAGCACACATGCTCGGAAATCCGACCCGATTTCGGAAGCCTGGCGCCGACCTGTGCAATAAGCGCGGGCCTCTCACGTCGCGCGACGCGGGGGGGCACCCCGGGCCAGGGCCACCTCTGGCTGCCTCTGACGAGGCCTTGTCGGCCACGCCGCTGGCCGAGACCGTGGTCGCCCGCCACGCGCTGCGCGTGTCGCCCGCGGCCCGGCGCAGGCGGTGCCGGTCCGAGAGCTCCGAGAGCAGCGGCGCTTGCTCGCCCCTGCCAGGCATCGCGGTGGGTCCGGGCGCCGGGCTGCGGGCCCTCGCCGCGCTGCCGCCGCCACCAGCCAGGGGCCGCTGGCCGCAGCCCCGCAGGGCTGGAGCGGGCGGCCGGCGTGAGGGTCAGAAGGGCTCTCCCCTCGGCCGCCCAGATGGGGGTCGGAGCAGATGGTCGGAGGATCGCTCCGCATCGCCGATGCAGCAGCGGTGCGGCTCGATGTGGAGCCCGGTTTTCTCCACGCCGGCGTCGCCGTTGTACCGCCGACGTCGCGGATGCCTCGCCGATGCATCCCCGATGTATAGCCGATGCATCGCCGATGCGGCGTGGCCCCCGATCCCATCTACTGGGACCCCATCCAGGAGGCCTCTATCTCTTCAGCTGCACGAGTATGTATGTGTGTATGTATGTATGTATGTATGTATGTATGTGTGTGCATGGATGGATGGATGGATGGATGGATGGATGGATGGATGGATGGATGGATGGATGGATGTACGTAGGTAGGTAGGTAGGTAAGGTATATATGTATGCAGGCAGGCAGGCTGGCAGGCAGGCAGGCAGGCAGGTAGGTTTGTGTATATATATATATATATATAGACACACCTATATACCTGTAGATTGTGGCCCTTCGCCAGAGTGACTTCTTGTGCGCGGCTTTTTGGGGGCGCGGGTGTGCCAAAGCAGGCCGCTACTGTCGCACCGCGTGCAGCGCTCGTCACGCCGCAGGCCGAAGGTCACGTCACTCTTGCCCAGGGGTCATCATGCGTGTAGCCGATCCTCGAAGACAGGAGGTCTTGGTGTTTTCTCGCCGCTCTCATGTTCTGTTTTGTCAGCGGTCCCGGGGAAGGCCCGGGCATCCCAGAACCGTTTCCGTCATGATATTTGCTGGTTGTAGCGAGCGAAGAACGGTTCCGCCATCGGGGACGCCTGTCCCAGGTCGGACAAAAGCCCCCACGGCGGCAGGTGGGGGGACAAACCGTCCAGCCGCCCTCGGAAAGGCGTCTGCGTGGTCGAGCGGGCGGGTCGCTGAAGCGTCAATCCTGCATGAAGCGCAGGAAGTCTCGAGCGATCCGCGCACTGCAAGTAAATCATCAGAAAGTGTATTGCGAGAGCGCGATCTGTTGATAAATCGTAGGAAGTCCCGCGCGAGAGCGCGACATTGAGTAAACTGTGAAGAAGTATCTGTGGTAAACCAGAGGCCAGGAGCACAGTCTGAGGCCGAAGATCTGCCATCGTAGAAAACAGGATGCGGGCCCTGGGAAAAAAAACAATTAGTACCGGGCGGGGGGGCATCAACAATAGCTATTGCTTAGACATGAGAATTCACTTGCTTCCGCTCGATATTTCCTCTTTCGTTACAGTGTATCAATGAATCGCGCTTTCTCCTGAGTCGCCAGCACATTGTATTCATGAATCGCTCTGCCGGCGATCTGGAATCGCGTTCTCGCTCGGGACCTCCTCATAACATTTACTCATGAACCGCGCTCTCGCTTGACGCTCGCTTGCCGTCCCCTCTTGCTAAGCCCTATTGCTAATCCCTCTCGTCCTCATCTTTTCCCTCCCGCCCTCGCCCCCTTCCCTCCACCCTGCCTTCCCCCACTCCCTTTCTCATCGCTTTTTCTTTTTGCCATGACTATTCATCTTCCTACTGAGAGGGCTGCGCCAATTACACGTTGCAGGGAAGGAAGATCTACCCCCCCCAAATGGGGCGCGATCAAAGACGAAGAGAGCGGGTATCAATGGCTTGGGAGATACATGATGAACGGCACGCGAGCATATGAGAGCGAACGGACTTGAAATGATTGTTGTTGTTGCTCTCGTTGTTGTTGTCGTCGTCCCATCCGCGGCCCACCCGCGACCCACCCCGCGACCCGCCTCGCGACCCACCGCGCGACCCTCCCACGACCCACCCGCGACCCATCCGCTACCCACCCACGTTGCTTTGACGAGAAAATCGGCGCCTGCGGCGGGCTCGTTGAATAATGTGTGAAAGATATCGGCGCCTGCGGCGGAATTTTCCAGAGCCTCGCAGACTGCCGACGACCCCGCCGCACCCTCACTCGTACCCTCGGGGGCGACGAAAGGGGCGACCAACCGAGGGGCGGGCATTACACGTAATCGCCCGGGAGCCTCGCCGAAGGCATGGGCCATCTGCTCCTTTGGATACATGTATTGTTCTCCCATGAGCTATTCGCCCCCAGCGTCGCCCCCGATACCCGCCAATACGGGGTGCGATGTATTTCCATCATGCCCAGGCGGAAGCCCACGGCGGCCAGCCCAGCCGAGGCAGCGGGAGGACGACGGGCAGCCAGGACCTCCGTCGGAGGGGTGGGTCGCGCTGCGGTCGCGCAGGGCCCGCGTGCGCCCGCTCTGCTTCAAGGCCCTGTGGGGCGCCTGCGACGGCGCCGGCTGCCCGCGATGGCACCCCGCCGACGAGCGCGACGCCAAGCGCATCCTCGACGACCTTTCGGTGCGGCAGTGCACTGAGGAGAGGCTCGAAGAGCAGGAAGCGGCACACACGGAAACGTCTGGAGGTCCGCGCGGATTTCTTGGGTCGGCGTTGGAGCCCTCGTGGCGGCGTTCCTGGTGCCGCCCCAAGCGCGCTCCGCGCGCCAGGACAGGGGGGGTCCCAGCGCCGACCTAAGAAATCCACGTGGACCTCAAAAAGTTTATGTTTACGCAGTTGTTCTCCGAGAGGTGCCGCAATGGGAAATTTACATTCTGCCCCTACTACCACGGCCCAGCCCCAGCGCCTGCACAGCCGGGTGCAGCGGTGCCCTGCGCAGTCCCCCCGCCGAAGCGGGCCCGGCGCGGCAGCCCGGGCGGCGGTGGGCCCATTTCGCCACGCTCTGAGAGATCTTCTGGGCAGCTGTCCTCCGAGTCCGCTTCGCGCGACGGCTCGCAGAGCGATAGCAGCGACGAGGAAGGCCAGAGCAGCAGCCCATCCACGGCGCTCGCGGCGGCGTCGGCGGAGTCTGGCGGCCCAGCGCAGCAGCCCCAGCACCGGCAGTTCTTGCAGCGCAAGGATCCGCCCGCGCTGCTGGTGGACGGGCCAGACTTCGCAGTCGTGTCGAAGCCCGCCGGCTGGGACGCGTGTTGCCCCGTCGCTGCGGGCAGCGGCACCACCTCGGCAGAGGGTCTGCTGGCCAGCGGCTGGGTGGAGCCCCTCTTCGCCTTCCCTAAGTTGCGCCGCCGACGGGAGCAGCACGTGGTGCTCTCGCAGGGCCCCATCGCCTCGGGCTGGGCCCTCGTGGCGGGCAGTCGCCGTGCCCAGCACCGCCTCCTCAGCACGCTGCGCGAGGGGAAGCTGATCTCCTACTCCCTGGCGCTGGTCGACGGGGAGCCGCCGCCCGGCGGCGAGCTCGCGGGGGCCAACCGCGAGGATGGCGCCTTCGAGGCGTCCACTCTCGCCGTGTACAGGCGCAAGGCTGCGGAGGGCTGGAGCGCACAGGCGGGAAGCGAGCGCTGCACCCTCGTGCTGATCAAGGCCGCAGGCAGCGCTTGCGGCGCAGAGCGCGGGCTGCTCGCCTTGGCGTGGGGGCGGCCAGCGGCCGGCGACGCGGAGCACGGCGCGGAGGGCGGTGGCGCGCGGGCGTTCTTCCACGCGTACGCCCTCGGATGGTCGCGGCCCGAGGGCGAGGGCGGGCGAATGGCGACGGTGGTCTGCCCGCTGCCTGCCGACATGCGCGCTGGCTTCGAGGGCATGGACGCTTTCTTCAACTGTCCTGCTGGCGGCGACGCCGCCGTGGCCAGCGCCTGCGCCGCGGAGCGGATGCGCCAGGCGTTGCTCAAGACGGGGCAGTTGCCAGCCGAGCTGCTCGCGGAGGGCGGCATGGTCAGCTGCCCCACCACGGGGTCTTTCCGGGCGGTCTCGCAGGCAGGGAAAGTTCTGCCGATGCCTCCAGCCCCGCCGCTCCCATTCGGCTTGGAGAGGTGGGGTGGGGTCATTTGCCGGCGGCGCTGGATCGTCGCATTCGTGAAGGAAGCGCTGAGACGCGCGAAGGAGTATCGCCTCGAGGAGGTCGCGCCTGGCCGAGTCATGGCCCAGACGCTCCTGGAACACTTCGCCGTGCTGCGCGAAGCCTGCTACAATTCGGCGAAAGCTCTCTGGAGGGTGGCAGACAGGGACGTTTCCAAGGCACTCGAGCCTGTGTGGGAAACGATGGACGATCCGCGGGTCAACCTCTCCGCGGATTCTTGCTTGTCTATCGGAGTCAGACCCCCTTGCGAACAGTTGCAAGCGTTCGTGGAGGAGTACGTGTCTGGGCTGCCTGCTGGCGAGAGCATTCCAGTGGCGGAGTTGTTCGGCAATGAGCACGTGCGGGCGATCTACAGCGAGGCACAGATGCCACACCGACCTCTGCTCGAGTCCTTGAAGCCATGCCCGCTCTTCGATGTCGATCCGACTGCCGACGCCATCACGCTGCGCGCCGTTCCAGAGCGGTTCCTGCTCGGCATGGAGAAGCTTATGCGCGATCACGGGATTCGTCGCGGGGACCCGCGGCTTTTCGTTGAGCTCAGGAAGCATGGTCACAGGGTACCGGTCTCCTGGTTCCTTGGGAATTACTCCCAGTTCCTTCTTGGAGATTCTCAGGCAAAGATTAGCGTGGCGGAGGCGACCAAGATGTTGGCGTCATCTCAGGAACTAGTGGTGGAGCCTGGCAGCAACATGGTAAAGTCGCGGTCAGGCCATGTTCTGAGCCTCCCAGCTGCACCTGAGGCCCACCCAGCATTCAGGAGAGTTGGCAAGGAGCACAACTTAATGTGGGGTGACAGGTTCACGTTCAGCCCTAGGGACGTCAAACTGTTCCAGGAGCTTATGGATCACTACTTCGAACCCTTCTCCCTTCAGCACAACCGTATGCTGCTTTACACGGCGGAGGTTGAGACGGACCCTTCGGGCAGCACGACTTGGCGTTGGAGTGTTTCCCGTCTCATGCAGGACTTCAAGCGTGTCTATACGAGTTTGGGAGGATTGGCGCGCAAAACGAGGTACGCATTCCTTGAGAGGGTGTGCTCCGTGGCGTGCAAGAACGTTCGGTTCGTGTCGAGATTGCGAGACGAGGAACTCTTCGTGGAGCTCGTCTACGTGCCAGACTTTAGGCTACCAGTGATTGCGTTGTGCGCCCCAGCGTGGATGTCGGAGACCTTCCTTGCGAGGCAAGAGCAGCTCCCGCCGATCCCTCCGTCGGGCAGCGTCCTTGTCTCGTACGCCCTCGGCTGCGCCGCGGGCGCGCTGGGTTCTGCCGGCGACGCGGGCCAGGCCGCCCCCAAGTTCGCGCGCGCCAAGCGGCATCGGCTCATCATCCGCCAGTTGCTCGCCTTCACGGCCGATGTGCTTTGTGTTCAGCAGTGCGAGTCTGGCCTCCAGAGGCCTGCGTGCCGCAGCGGCACCCTGGATTGCGGGACAACAGCCTGGCCAACGGAGGGCACGTTGTTAGCGGCGTTGGTTGCCAGGCTGGAGAAGGACGACTTCGAATGGCTCGCAGCGCCAGCTTTGGATCTACAGGGGCACTCACGCGAATGGGGCTCTGCCAACGTTGTCTTCTGGCTCCGCCGCAAGTGGAAAGCGGTGGGATGGGCCGTCAGCGCAGGGGGCGCTGTCAGCGTGGTTCTGGAGCCGCGCCGTAGCCCAGGAGTCTCTTGGCAGCTCACCGCATGCTCCCTCGAGGCCTCCGAGGCCGACCTCTCGGCCCAGCTCTCCGCCGTGAAGGGGTACTTGCGGCCCCCGTGCATTTTGAGCGGCACGTTTGGGGCCGAGGCGGCGGACGTCGGCCGAGCGATGCAGGCCGCGGGGTGTCCAGGCCTCCGCAGTGCGCATCGCGAGGTGCTCGGGGCAGAGCTGGCCTGGACGAGCCTCTGCTGGGGCAGCGGCGGCAGCCATGAGCCATCGACGAGATGCCGCAACAGCGTGTGGCTGGGCGGGGGCTCCTCGCTCACGCCGCTGGCCGCGCTCCCGGGCCACAAGCGCGGGCCTCACCGCACCGAGGATGGACGCGTCTGCCGGCAGACGATGCCCACGGACCATTTGCCGCTCGTCCTGGGCATCGAGCACGCCCCTCCTGGGGACACGTCGCACGCGCTGCCCGTTGGTTAGGGGCGCACGGGCGACGCGTGACGCTGGCACCGTCACAATTTGCTTGATTGGGGCTTTGCTCATCAGTCGAACGGTCAAATGGATTGGCACTTGCATGGACTCTTAGCTCGCCGTGACAGTTGCCCATGACCTTACAAATGGTGTTCAGTTCTGCCCCGTAGGGAGAGCCACAGTGAGTTGTGTGTTTCCTGGGGTTCAGTGGGTTGCTGACCACAGCCTAGAATGTTTTGAAACGTGTGCAGCACTTCGAGCGAGCATGGGGTATCGCCGCTCCCTGCCTTCGCAGCTTTGCGCGAGCGGCCAGTTCGGCTTGACCTGCACTAGACTAGCAACATCAGCGCGCTCGGCGCGGCCCGCGCCCTCGAGGGCGAGGCCTTCGCTGTCTCAGCTGGCGTGGGAGCCCACGAATTCGAAGCTACGCTGCCTGGGGACAAAAACATTCACAAATAATCAAAGCTTAAGTGGCGCGGATCACGAGGCAGCTGTCGTAGGAGGTCCCTCCGCCCGCTGAACTCGCCGAAGGGCGACCCTTCCTGAACGCAGGGAGCTCTCCCATAGGCCTGACACGGTGCATCACCAGGGATGCGGTAAATCAGGCACGCCGAGTAAGGAATCCATCCAGCCAGCCCCCAAGGAAGTGGGTCGAAATTTTGGTGAATGTCCCAAACGTGGGGGAAATCTGCAAATCTTGGGGCACCGTAGGGTAGGAACTACAGTCAACCCGCATAGGAAGGATATGATTGTCCATCCTTCCCCTTCGGCCCATCCTTGGCCGCGTTCGCAAGCCGCGCCCCGCTCGCAAACTTTCGGCATGGCCTTCCAAGGCCCTTGTATCTCGTCTTTCTTGTACGGGCTGGCTGTCCGCAAGTCATCCACGACCAATGTGCCCCCCCTGATGTCTCTCAGTATGTCTTATCGTGTGTGCTTGCTGCATCAGGGACGGAGGACGGAGGGCTGCCTCCCTCGGTCCTTGACGCGAGTGCTTGTCTCTCTACTCCTCCTCCTCCTCCTCCTCCTCCTCCTCCTCCTCCTCCTCCTCCTCCTCCTCCTCCTCCTCCTCCTCCTCCTCCTCCTCCTCCTCCCTCCTCCTCCTCCTCCTCCTCCTCCTCCTCCTCCTCCTCCTCCTCCTCCTCCTCTTTGCCCCAATACACCAGCGGGCCATAGCCTCGAGGCGGCAGTGACAGGGGCGGCGTTCACCGCCTGGTGTGCCTCAGGGGCCGACCGGAGCTGAATGGAGACGTCTCTCCGCCCCAATGGTCTCTGGAGGCCCAAGGCGGGCCAAACGCATATTTTTGCACCCAAAAGCCTTGATCATCGATGCCTCTGTAAAGGATCGAGGGATCAGGCTTTGGGACTTCTGTTCTGTACGGGATCGTTCCGTACCGTACTCGTGGCCGGCACGGTACCGTACGGTTCGAATCGGTAGCCAAGGCCAGTATTGTGATGTTCCAAAAGTTTACCATCACCAGTTGTCAGGGTACGGTGCGAGCTGGCACCAGTTGGCCGGCATGTGGTACGGTAGCGGCCATCATGGTCATCTTTCTTTTTGTTCCGACCGCCCAACCCCTTGCCATGAAGCGGAAGGGTCTTGAAGGAGACGGGTCCTGGATTCTGGGGGTTCTCCAAAGTTGGTTTTCTGTCCTGAGTCGGTTTCGGACGGCGCTGGGGCTTGGGAAGTGCCCTGGGAGGCCCAGAACGGCTACAATGTTCAGGACCCCTTTCTCTCAGTTGCTCTTCATGGCGATCCCTCTAAATTCCGCTCAAGATCTATTCCTCCAGCCCGGTCGCATGTTCACCCTGGCCAGACTTTCGAGCCGCAACCATCCGTTGCGACGATGACATGCGTAAACGCCCAAGACTCTTCGCCACAATTATCCAGGCCTCCCGAATCGGTTCCGAGTGCTGTGGAGTCCGAGGGTCGCAGCGCATCGCCGATGCATCGGCGTTTCGGCGCGATAAGGAGGCCGATTCTCTCCACCCCGACGTCGCCGATGCATCGGCGTTTCGGCGCGATATGGAGGCCGATTCTCTCCACCCCGACGTCGCCGATGCATCGGCGATGCGGTGCGATCCTCCGACACCATTTACTCGGACCCCACTTGGGAAGCCTCAACAATTCGTCGTCGACGTCGACGTCGCCGTCGACCTTCATGGCGGGCCTCAGCTCCGGCCACCGCACCCGCCCCATTCGTTTCCTGGGCGCCGGCCCCAGGATCCTGTCGCGGATGGAGGAGTTCCTGCACCCGCGGCGGCGCAGCGCGCAGCGTCGTGGGGGGAGGAGGACGAGGACGAGGAGCAGGAGGAGGAGCAGGAGGACGAGCAAGAGGAGGAGGAGGAGGAGGAGGAGGAGGAGGAGGAGGAGCAGGAGGAGGAGGAGGAGCAGGAGGAGGAGCAGGAGGAGGATGGAGGAGGAGGAGCAGGAGGAGGAGGAGAGGGAGGAGAGGAGGAGAGGAGGAGAGGAGAGAGGAGGGGGAGAGGAGGAGGAGGAGGAGGAGGAGGAGGAGGAGGAGGAGGAGGAGGAGGAGGAGGAGGTGAAGGAGGAGGAGGAGGAGGAGGAGGAGGAGGAGGTAACTAAGCACTGGCCTGAAGGCGCAGCTTCCCGCTGCATCAGCCCCCAGCGGGGCCCCAAGCACACTGGGCAGGCAGTGAACCGCCCCCAGAGAGAGCCGAGGAGGAGGAAGGGAAACAGGGCAAGCGGGGGAGAGAGGGGGCGGTCCCTAGCGTACCCAGGGGCGTGTGGCCCCAGCGGCTGACACGGAAACCGTCCAGATTCGGAGCCGTTTGGGGGTTTTGCACCGGAATCCAGGGCGTTCCGCCGTCTGCCGGCTCGCTGGCGATTGCGCCGCCCGCGTTCTCGCACCGAAGGCAGATCAGATTCAAACAAGCCGTGGTAAGACAGGAGATGTGCCTCGGGCTGCCGCGGCCTGCTGGTCGCACTGTCCAGGCTGGACAGAGGAGCTGCATTCCTGCATGCGCCTTTCCCGACAAAGGGGTCCCCCCAAGCGCAGTCGCTCGGCCCACGGGATGGCCTCGGGGTGGGGGGCCAGACTGATTTTGGTGCGCCTGGGATGCGGACGCTCCCCATTTTAGAGTTTCCACAGCCGTCCCCGTGCGCTCGGGTTTTGTCCATGCTCCTTGCACCGCTCTTGGATGCATTTCCCTGGGCATGATCCCCAAACATGCGCACCGCCATACATGCAAAACATGAATGCGTGGCTCTGCTGTTGTTCAAGCTGTGCTTGAAGTAAAGCGTGCCCGCCGCACTTGAGCAACAGGAGGATGTGCCGCTAACGTGTCAGCCCTGCCCACTGGGGAATGATGACCGCCCACACTTCTCTGGTCCTGACGCGCCGACGCACTTCTCATGGAGAGCCCCTCCCTCTCCACGCTCCTCTCGTGCGGCCCCGACACCTGCCGCTCGGTTCCAGTCTGGCGGTTCTGCGGCTACGCCCGCCGCTGCCCCAGTGCGGCAGGAGGCGTTGGCAGACGACCATCGACCGTCCCGGCGCCGTTGACCGCGACGCTCTGGTTGGCCCCGGGGGCGTCGTCGTGGTCCACGAATCCGTTGCCGACAACGTAGGCGTGGCATTCAACTGCACACCGCGCCGCTTCTCCTGCCAGTTCCCGGAGGCCGAGCCAGGGGTCCAATTCATCGTCGGATGTCTTGGGCAGTTGCGCCCCTCGCTTGGCCAAGTCGTCGGCATGCGCGTTCGCCTTCTTCTCAGCTCCCACAGCGTGGACCGGCCTGCATCGACGTCCGCGCCCGTCGCATGAGCCACTAAGTTGCCGAACCTGTCCACTTGGACGATGCTCCAGCCCGCTCATGCTAGAATTGGTTACTTCGGGTGGTAGGCGCTTCCATCCAAAAAAGAAAACGCCTCGCAATAGACCATCAGCAGGCAGGTTGATCCACTGCACATCCATCGCCACGCGGGACCGCAGGAAGAGAGGCGCGGGATCTGGATGAACACTGCGCGCAAACAACTCTCCTGCTGCCGCGTCCCAGTCCCGTGTTCGGCGGGCTCATCGGCAAAGCTCGGGCGTCGTGATTTCTCTCCTCAGGGCTTCGAGAGCGGGGCAATCGTAGCAGAGTTTCCCCGGGGTGCCTCCCGCACCGCCGCACGCATTGCACGTAGGGGTGGATGCGAGACCGTGGGCGTGGAGCCAGGACCGCGTCCAGAGCGTGTTGCCCACAGCAGCTCGTAGCATCCTCTGGTGTCGCGCCGTCCAGAGTGTTTGCGACTTGTCCAAGAGCGGCCGCAGGGCAGCCCAGAAGACCAGGAAAGGCTGCACGTCCTCTTGCGCAGCCCTCTCCTCTTGCCCTTGCCGCCCCAGGGCAAGGCGATCCGAAGCGCGCACAGCCGATTCGATTGCGAGTGCCCGCGCTGGGACTCGAGGGAGGCGCGCCAGGTGGAGGCGCTCTCCCCGGTCGGCGCTCACATGCGTGGCATTCTCGAACATCCAGCCGACGCGAGCCGCGCTCAGCACCGCAACGTCCGCGGGAGAGGAAGTCTGTCTCCATGGGTGATTCAACGTTTTCGTACTCCAGCGCCAGCTGCATCACAACCTCTACGATGCGCCTCTTCACGAATGAATGCCATAGCGCCGAGCACCACGAGACGACAGCGTCGGCGGTGACGAGAACAAACGGATCGCACCGCACGCCTGCGCGATAACTGCGCAGCCGCAGCCTCACTCAGGCCCCCCGAGGGAGCTGGCCGCAACCCCCAGCAACTGTCACTCGGGGTCCGTGAAGCTGCGTGTTGCCGATGCCTGTCATACGGCCCCTGAGATCCTTCAGTTCAGCGTCGCCATGGAGACGCTCAAGGGCCAGATCGCTAAACTCAAGGATCTCAGGGTGCGTATGTCACCGCGGAACCCCAGCGGGCCTTTCGCAGTCACTCCAGCGCGGTGTGCCATCTGCGTTTCAGCGCCAGCTTCGCGCAGACGTCGGCACCTCCTACCTCTCTTCACGGCATACGCCTTCCTGGCCCTGGCGG